GTAAATGGCCGGCGTTGCCATGGTGACAGCGACGCGACTATGTTGTAGTGCTGTAATCTCCCGGCCAAGGCTCTCCTCCCCACGAGATGGGCGGGAGATTTAAATTCCGGGTTGATAAGTCAAACTTTGGGCAGACCCGGAGCGGCGGCGGTAAACCCCACTTCTGTGCTGCTGCGGCCACTTCCATACCGCCGCCCGACTCCGACTGCCACAAAACTTACCCCTCGACTTACCCCCTCCTTCCGGGCCCACTGCTAAGCGCGAGTCGCGCACCCTTGGCCCGTCCCCCAGAGTGCCCTAACTGTCGCTCTCGTGTTGCAGGAGCCGCTCAAGTCCGAGGACGAGGTGCTTCTGGCGCCATCCCCCGAGCCGCAGAGCAAGACCGCCTGGGAGGCTCAGCAAGTGTGACCCGGCGTGGTCTAGCGGGACCAGGTGCGACCGGGTGTGACCGCCGCCACATCGGTCCATCACTTCACGGAGTCGCAGCATCAAGCGGCCGCGGCGCCGTTCCGAGCTTCGCGATATGCTCCAGATAGTTATCTTCTCTGCTCGATTCGACAGCAAAACACTTCACATATTACTTCACGTCCGTTATGTTTATTCAGCTGTGCGTCCAATCTTCCCGAGAACAGAAATTGTTGTCATCCCCTCTTTCTCCCCGGTGCTGTGTTATCTTTCGGTAGGATAATTTCTATACTTAGACACTTTGACCACTTTGGTTAGAAACACAATTGTATAGTGTTATTTTTTCTAGAGCAATATATTCTAGTTAGGTGGTGGATTTGTTTCTTTTTTTCAATCTAAGTCGGTGTGTGAGTAAGTGTGTATGTGTTGTGTCCTTGTGTGTATGTGTGTGAGAGAGAGAGAGAGAGAGCGAGAGGGAGTGAGAGAGAGTCAGTCTGAGCCGAACAGAGCAGCACGATATTGTCAAGCTTGATGTGATGATGTCCGATATCGATCCTCTGTCATCCCGTTCCTTCCCGTCACAAATACACTTCTATTCAATTGGTGCCACAATAGAGACGGGTGGGCGCCGGCGCGCCGCCAGGCCGGTGTAACAGAGCGATTGTACCCCCCCGAGTTGGAGTACCGCCGGTACATCAGCTCTAGGGTACCTGTACCCCCCCACCCTCGAGCCCCGGGGGTACACCGAACCTAGGGCTGGGGTACCCCCGGGGGTACACGATCTCTAGGCCAGAGATACCCCCCCTCCTCGACCCCCGGGGGTACACCTAACCTAGGGCTGATGTACCCCCGGGGGGTACATGGTCCCTCGGGCAGATGTACCCCCCCTTTTCGACCCCCGGGGGTAAACAGTACCGAGGGCTGGTGTACCCCTCGAGCCTCGGGGGTACACCCAACCTAGGGCTGTTGTACCCCCCGGGTTTACACGATCCCTAGGGCCCATGTACCCCCTACCTCGAGGGTAAGGGATCTACCATACCTCATGTCTTCGAGGGCACATATTCCGCACCACTAAAGTGGCCAGATCTAATCTAGCCTAACCTAGCCTAACATAACCTAGCCTAACATAACCTAAAGCGAGCTTTGATTAACTCTAGGTGTTGTGCGTACGAATCTCGGGTGATACATAAACTCTAGGGTACGTGTGCCCCCCTCAGATGGGGGTGCATCAGCTCTAGGTTCGCTGTGCCCCCGGGTCTCGAGGAGGGGGGTACATGTGCCCTAGAGATCATGTACCCCCGGGGGGTACACCAGCCCTAGGTTCTGTGTACCCCCGGGGGTCGAGGGTAGGGGGGTACATGTGCCCTAGGGACAGTGTACCCCCCGGGGGTACACCAGCCCTAGGTTGGGTGTACCCCCGGGTCTCGAGATGGGGGGGTACATGTGCCCTAGGGACAGTGTACCCCCGGTACACTATACCTAGGGCTGATGTACCGGGGGGGTGCCGGGAGCCGGGGGGTAAAACCACTCTGCGACACCGGGACTGCCACAGTCTGGAAAGAAAATGAAAGCACTACAGCATGCAGCAAAAGTAAATCTATTCAGTTTCAATATGCGGTAGTTTTTTGTCGTTTGTGGTTTTATGAGAAGTCAGTAAAACTGCAACGCGAGGCTAAGATAGTGCATTTTCTTGGGTGTCTATGAGTATGTCATAACAGCTTTTTTATTCAAAATATTTTATGAACAACTGTTAAAAGCTACCAAGAAATATTTTCTTATCTTCACGTAGAATAATATAAAAGTCTCAGAGAGTTAATGGAAAGTAAAAGTACCAAAGTGTGAACGAGCGCTAGTCAAATATATTGTTATCTTGCTTTTTGTGTTACAATAATGTTGTCCCTTACCGTTTTCAAATTACCTTATGTACTTGCTCGTACTTGCAAGTTTAAATGTCTTTAGGTATGCCTGTTAGGTAAATATGTGATCAAAAGTAGCTGTGTAAGCTGTTTTATTCTGTTTGTTATGATCAAGCTTTTTCTCCTTTTTTCTTGAACTAAAAATGTGTCAGTTCTGAGTGTATTTCTGTGCCTTTGTGATAGTATCTCTTAAATGTTAGCCGACAATTAAATGCTCACTGTCAGCTTAACAAAGCATTTTGCAGAGTGAATTGCGGAATACTGAGACATATCATAAGATAAAGATTTTACTTGATATCAAATTTATATAACCCCTAGCGGATTCTATTCGAAAAATGATACACAGAATAATAGGAATATAACGTTATGGGCCTTTCCGGCAAAGAGCATTGACTGTATTGTAGGATGAATTTAATAAATGGATGAGAACGTGATAAATCATTTGTTGTGGTCTCTTTTGATCTCAATGACCCTGCTTCCTCCTCCCGCGTTTGCGATGACACGACGCTGACCGCGCTGGTCACGCACACCACAGCGGGAGACAAGTAGAGCTCGCTTGCCAAAGCCAGCGAACAATGGGGCGCGCGGGTGCGGCCTGGTCAGGCGGCGGCCCCAACTCCACCCGGTCCAGCACGGCCTCCGGGCCGGGCCCCGGCTCCAAGCCCTCGCCCTAGGACAGCCCCGGCGGCGACTCGGAGGCGTCCGGTGTACAACACACGGGGTGCTGAGCCGTGCGTCCGGGTCCGGCCGGCCGCCTGGGAGCCACACGTTGGCACGCTTGTGTCGCACACATTAGTGCCGATGCCTATCGACGATAAGAGGAAGGTAAAGTGGGAAGGGGGGCCGTGGCTGTGTGTGCTCACGTTATAATAAGAAGAGAGGGGTCCCCCGTGCGCCGACCAGCAGCAGCACCAGCAGCAGCACGGCCAAGCAGTGTGGACCGAGTGGGGTACGGGACGGGGGGAGTGGAGGGGCGGAATTGACCTGGAAACCAGATGGGAACAGCGCAGCAGATTACTGCGGTGGTTTGGTCCTCTCGAAAAGAGCTGCGGAGCGTCCAGCAGCAGCAGCAGCGGCAGGGAAAAGAGAAGTAGCGGGGGAGACGAGTTCGAGGGGGGGGGGGGGAGCAGGGACTTGCCAACCAGTTTCGCCAAGTCATGTCGTCGAAAGACATCGAGCAGCAGCAGCAGCAGCAGCAAGCGATCCCGCTGCAGCGGTGACGCGCGTAGCAAGGCAGCTGTCAATCCAAGAGAGAAATGACACGCGAAATTCGCGCGTGTCTTGTTGAAAAGTATGTCAATATAAAATAACTGAAAGGCGTGGAAGG